GAAACTAACAGACACAACGAAACAGAAATACAAAACAATCTATCGAACATAACAGCGTTACAGACCCCACTCAAACTTGGACAGGTGGAAGCACATGTCCCCCAAGGTTTCACACTGTTGCCGTGTTGCGTAACTTTCGAAATAAGAGGGATGGTATGGAGAAAAAAGGATTGTCTCTAAATCCTGAAAAAATGAAGGATTTTAACAAAAATCGGCTGAACTTACTTTAGTTGTATGTACTTTTTTTCTTGTGTAGTCCCTGAGCCAATTTATGGCCATTTTAGGGATTTTAGTGGATCTGGTTTGCCCGCTCACAATAAATATATAAAGAGAGCTATAAAGAGAGGAAGCTTACACTCTTAAAATTACCATGTGCTTTGCCTGTACTGTATTTGGGAGAAAAGCTATGAAGCAAGAATTAATATAAAGCTAAAATTTCTATTTGGCCGGATGATTCTAAAAAGGGCGATGTAAACTGGGTTTACATATCTACAGTGTTTGTCTTCCCAAAGGAGGAACAAAGCCACTGGCCAGTCAACTCTTTGTTCTTCTTGCAGCCAAATCTTTTTAACAAAAACAAATAATTGGTTTATACCAGACAGTACTAAATCAATACAAAATGATTTTAAGTCCATTAATTTTTATTCAATAGGTTACACAATATTCTAAAATATTCCACACAAGCAATGGTTTATTGCTGCTCTAAATATCAAAGGGGCTTACTGCCCACACAAACTTTGGACTCTAAACGGCAATTCAGTACTCCAGGATTCACAATTTCCTGAGAAATTATTACAAATTTACCTTAAATAAGTGTAAACTTTAATGAATTATTGTCCAGAGACCAAGGCTCAGCAAAATGGCTTTTCTAAATAACCGTTAAGACTTACAAAATGAAAATGTGCCTTCTATACAAGACGCATATTAATATTAAATTATTTGATATTTTCCCTTAAATATTTGTTTCTTATAATCTCAACTCTTGAATTTGCAGGGGGCAAAATTTTCACGAATGGAGAATCTCAAAAGCCCTTTCAAATGTTGTGCTAATGCCATGCTTACAGCAACAAACAAATTAAATTTGGCTTAAGCGAGGCAGTAGAATGACATATATGTATGAAACCAAGTTGTGCTTCTGCCATGACACACTCAGTTCACAAATTTGGGCGAGAGCAATTTTATCTCACTGAATTAAATTCGATACCTCTGACCAAGTCATGCTAAATTTGAGTCCGCTTGGCACAACAGTTGAAATGGCACTAAGTCATCTGCTTCAACTATTGATCAAAACTTTTCTTCTCTTTAGAAAGATTTTTACTACTTGTCTATCTTGCCTGCAAGAAATATCTTACATATTTACAATGGTGAAATAAATCTTAAATGATGCATTTGCACTGTCACAGCATGAAATGGTATCTATACAACACAATAATTAAATATGACTTACGTCTGGACTTCTGCCTTCACAAATTTGTGTCATCAAATAAAACAAAAATAGATTTACTATTTTCAAGTCATATAATGTACATGTATGTTACAACTCATTTTCCCATTTTCTCCTAGGGTCAACAGAGACATTGAATATGTTCTAACTTTTGATTCTGTGAATAAAAAAAATAAATGGCACCATTCAAACCTTTTTACAACTTACTTCTGTAAGGTACAAGATGTTTGTTTTCCAGTATTTGATAAAATAACTTTTTTGATTTTTCTATAAACATTGATTTTTGGTTTCCCCAGAGAAAAAAGGTTCATGCTATGATATGTTCCCCACAGATCTTGGATTCAACATACGTCTGTATCAAATTTTCAGTCGGCTACGGAGCCTTATCAGTGAAATAATATCGGAAAAAATATTTACAACAAAAGAACGAAAAAGTACCTCAATGGTAACTACAACCCTGGCCAAAACTCTTGGGATACAAATGCAATAGCTCATCAAAGTGAGGCCCCCTTCGCCACCCCCCTCCCCCCGTTAAGTTTTATTTCAACACAACCAACAGTGCTTGGCAGAGAGGGGGACAGCACAAATAGGCTCTTATAACAACATTTCCAAGCTTTTTTAAGAGGTAGAATATGCATGACTTCATTTAGCAAAGTGTGTCTTTGTGCCTAATTTCCTTAAGTGTCCCAAGATGCTTTGACCAGGATTATAGCCATGTGAATAAAATATCTTGGTATGAAAAGATTTCAAAGGAAATTTCAGAAATATATCTTTCGAGGTCAAGCTATAATGTAAGAGAGCACAATTCTAGATCTCATATTAAACAAAGCCACAGAGTGGAAGGAGAGTTCTGTCTGGAACTTCTTGGATTTGATTGGTCTACCAAAACTACCCACATTATGTAGTCTCTCAGCTGTCTGTTTCCGCCTCGTGCACCAGACGCACGAGAATTTCACATCATGAATATTAATTACACAACATTTTCCTCGATAATCGTGTTACACTGGAAGGAAAATATGTTCAAGCTTTTCTCAAATGCGTCAGTCAGGTCTTCGATCTTCATGTCCTCCGGATATCCACGCATGATTGGCTCTTGTTTATGTTCCAAGAAACAGTGTTGTAGAGTGGACACACTGCCCGGCCTACAGATGCGTAACCACCCCACGGCTTCGGCAGCTGAAAATCGGTAATGCCTGATCAAATAACAAGCGATCAGAGTCCCTGTTCTTCCCAAACCTGCTCGACAATGAACGGCCACGGCTCCATCACACTGGTCTACGGCCCTCGTAAACTTCTTGATAATCGCTTTCGAAGGGATCCCGCCATCTTCGAAGTAAAAGTCGTTGTGACTAAAACCGTTGGCGGTAAAACAACGCGTATCGTAAATAAGCCCGTATTTGATCATGTTGTCGTCCTTGTTCAGTCTTACAACTCCCTTGACACCAATCTGTCTAAAATATTTCCTTAGTCGACTGAAACGACTTGCTTTTACTTCTGGCCTTCTTTGAGGATCGCTCAACGCCAGCAACTTACCGGGAACAATCCAGTTCAGATCAAAAGCGCGCTCCTCCTGCTCGTATCTGTTCAAGTCGAACTCGTCGAACTTAAAGAACCCCAACGCAGTTGCCTTCTCAAAACCTTTAAGGCAGTTTAGGATATTAAGGTTGTGAGATAAATTACCATTAATATCACAGTAAGGAGCCAAGTTTGAAGAGTGCAAGTGTTCTTCTAGTAAACCGTATATTTCTTCGGCGGTCATTTTGAGTTGACAAATCGCGAACGCACCACACAGGAAGACAGACCTCGCTCGCTTTTTCGCGTCGGCAAGTCCTTCGTTAGCAGTAGTGTAAAGTACTATCTTCTTCGAGGCAGGGATCATGTGAAGTTTAGTGTTTACAAGACAGCAGAAACGATAAATTCCAGCTAGATTCGAAGGTCCGAAGTAAGGAGTGTCTTGAAATTTACAACCGTCTAGAGTCCCATCGTGATCTACGCTAAAATAATGATATGAAGCGTTGTTTCGGGGCTTGCAACTCACCGTAGCAAAATATAAACGGTCTTTTACTACTTCGCAAGAAGACATGATGTTCCTGTCCCACATTTTCGTTTTCGTGTCTTTTAACCACGAGGAATAAATCCCACCGCTGTCGCTGAACCAAAACAAAGAGTAAAATAAACCGTCGTCGTGGCGCGCTAACATGCAGTCATTCATTCATGGTTAAGACTCATTTGCATAGCACGTGATGACAACAAAACTCTGATTGGTTGAGAAGTGAGCACAAAGTGGTTAATTGCTCTCTTAGCCAATCAGAATAAGAATAAAACAATTGAATGGTTTACTATAATCCAAAGTTCATCTCAGTGGAATTTGGCGCGAAAGCAATGATGCGGGTTTTGTAATAAGACACGTTTCGACGACTCGCTGATAAGGAAGTTGTTATTTTCGTAAACAAGGATCGTAGCGGAACTGGAAATCGAAGAAGATATGATTCACTTTCGAAGCAAAGAATTTATCCTTTTATTTTTTCATGGGAATTACTCAATCTAAATTTCCAATTACGCAATAAGAAATACCTGTTGGCATTCCTATGCTAATATTTTTTACAGTTCGGCGACTATTAATTCGAGTATCTCATGTGACGATGACGGTGCCAAACATTCAAGAACATTCCCCCACATTCAACACCTTTCTGGCAAAAACGGGATGTTTAATACAGATACTTATATGCGAAAATTTCTTGGCGCAAATAATTCGTCCACATGATTTTAACAGGTAACGTCTTGTGAGAAAGGAGCTCAACGGATTCCCAGGAGAGTGAGTTTTTGTTCCTGTTTAATCACGTGAAAATATAACGAAAATAGTAGTCAAGATTGCCAAATAGGATCACCATTTTTTTTATTCATTGATCCTGATATTGTTGACATCATGAAAAGGAAGGAAATATAATAAATCGAATATTGCAGCGTCAATTTGTTGGATAATTTGTCAAGTAGGGTCGAAACAGAAAAAAATTCCTGTCGTCTTCAACGCAAGAAAATAAAAGTGCACCTGAGGGCTGATAGTGACCAAATCTTATATTATTAAATACTTAGTCTTTCTGGAACTTGTCTTGTGAACATCATTGGCGTCGGCTTTTTGCTAGTAAGCTAGTAAGTACTAAGGGGGACAATTTCCCTTGAACTTGCGTTCTGCAGCAAGGCTAGTAAGCGCGTCACGCGAATCAGTACATTAATAAGACATGAGCGTCACATTGGACCTGCGGGAATGAATTAAGTGTGTCAGTTTAAGATTTGAAAAAACAATATCATGTGTACGAAATGTGGTGTATCGATAAGAATAATAATCTTCACCACCACTACCATGAAACAAAAATCTAAAATATATACATTAATAATAATAACAATCTTTTATTAGGAAACTTTCATCACAATTTACACTGTTGTTTTTGGAAAGGTCCTAATAATTTCCGTGCACGTATCAGAAGTGAAAGGTCTATAAACGAGTAATTTTAGTTATTCAAACATGTTGTTGGGAATAGAATGAACAAACCCCACCACTTGCTGTGTAGTAACTTTTTAATCTAATATGCTTGTTTTTAGCAGCTAAAGGACAAATATGTTTGATTTAAAAATGAGTGAATCAACTGATTTCAAGCCTGTGGCAAAATACTAACAATGAAAAACTGACCATTCCGGCAAGCGGTCGAAAAAATACGTCAGCGTACTGTATTGACCGTCAAATGATTGGCCACAGGTCTGAGAACTTAGCCGGAGGCTGAAGTGGAATTTCGTGCCTATTTTCACACAGCAAACAATAAGAATGCTGAAAATTCTTCTTGCTTTTTTTTGCAAATGACCTTAATGAATCAAGCAAGCGACTCGCGAATCTCAATTTCTGAACTGCAACGATTCAGCAGCTTCTCTTGAGTCAGCCAAAGTGCATGACAACAATCTTATCCATTTCTTCGCAGAGCTGGGGAGACGATTAGAAGTCGCCACCTTAAGAAAACAAGGAATATATAATTAGCTGGAACGGTCTCAGTAAAACGCCTTTGGGGATTAAGCCAATTTTGAGGTTGTCATTGCTTCGAGAGCAGGGTCAAACACACTTGACGCTCTTGAGGGTTATTGTTTTGTGAAGTTAATGATCTTCTTCATAATTGACCAGGCTCACTTGAGAAACGAGTATAATTTTATACAGCATTAGCCCAGTACTACAGCGACACAAGCACAAATCACAGAAAGCGAATGATTAAGTTATATATATTTGCGCTGCAGTGAGGACTGCGGCGACATCAATATGAGAAAAAGACTACAGAAACCGTTTGTCTTGTAGTTGTGATTATGTTGATGTTAGACGTGCTCTCCCGAACAAGCAACTCACGGCACGAACCCTGAATTTCTCACTTCTACAGCTTCAAGTGTCATCTTTTGTGCTTTTGCTTATGGCATGTGTAAAAAATAAAATCCTTGTACTAGTGCTTGCCTCAAGTTGTGAAAAAGAGTCAGGATTTCAAAGAAAAGAGAGAGAAAAAGAAAATTTAATATTTGGCAATCTTTCACAAACAGAAATCCTGTCGAAAGAAGGGTCTTTTCGGAAGTTGCTGATAGGTCAGATAGGTTGGGGCATGTGGGGTAAAGAGGTGGGGGGATTGAAGACAAGCACAAATGCACAGAACAAGATTATGTAAACATGAGCTGGGAACCAGAAAACTGAGATAGAAACTCGTGACAAATACTTTACCTTGAAGTAAACTTTGCATTTTTCCAGCAAAAATTGCACTTTTAACTCTGTTAATTGCGTTATATTCCAGTGAGCCATATCCGTTGCCTTGAATAAAGGAGCAACGCAAATCAATTACCGAAATAGCACAAGTCCGGCGGCTATCAAGTTCCTTTAAAAGTTTATTTATAGCCGTTTATTTTTTCGTAGTGAAATCGATCTTTTCCAAGGAGGATCGATTACCAGGGGAACTGGGGAAAGTTAGTTATGGATCGCGAAAGGCCGGTTCGAGATCATGATGTAACCAGAACCCTACTCTCTTTAGTATTGTGAATTTCATCGCCAGAACAAAAACTCTCAGTTTTTCTTGGGGCCATCATATGCCTACCTTGATCGTTTCCTATAAGAGTTTTTAATAATAGAGGGTCTCAATGGGGTTAACCGTCAGCCGTCAAACGGCCTAAAATTTAATTAACAGTTAATGAATGAGGCTGAGTATCTTATGAAGAATTATGCAGATCGAGGAGGGTGTTACCCGCCTCGGCCTATACGGCCTCGACGGATGCCGAATTCAATATCTGTTTTATTTTTCATTCATAGCTAAAACATGCTTACCTCCATCGATCCATCGATGTTCAGTTCATCTTCGATAGTGTACGTTTAGGTTTGTCCAGCTCCGCAGATATTCTCCAAATAGCAGATGTCGCCCTTCGAGTTGTCTTCTTGCTGTTCTTGCCATGTTTTTAGCTATTTTTTCGCCTAGTTCTTACTCTTGAAACGAGTGAAATGTCCGCCATTTTTTCAAGTTCACAACCAAAACAACTCAACCTCGTCCCCAGGTCTTCTCGGTTAACGGTGCCTTAACCTGCGAAAACGCTGCACTTTTGACGTCATTTCCTCGTTAAAGTCAAAATTCTTCCAAATTTGGTCATCAATCACTGGTTATGGTGAATTAAACGTGTGCTTTTAGCCAATCAGAATCGGGGAAATATTTTGAATGAATAATAAGCTAATTTCAGTTAACCTTTAGCCGTCGAAAAAGGTAACCGTCAAAAATGCAGCATTAACCGTTAAAAGTTTCAAGGTACTGTTAAATCTCACTATTTCAGCTGATCTTCGCTGTTTGTACTAAAAATGTTGGGAATGAAAACAAAATGTATATAAAGACCAGTAATAATATGAAATTGATAAACATTCTTTTATCGAAGCCGCCCTTACTTTACATCCACACATGCTCTCTGCGCACGGCTCCGTGAGTCTACAATTGCTTATTGTTCCCGCGTGGTCAGACAGAGAGATTCCCAATTCGAACTGTGTTTTGACTGTTGAACTACCCCCTCCAGGGTTTGCTGTAACTCTGGTACACGCTGGGTTTAAGCAAGTATCACTGAGAAGAACCACTCTCTGGTTACAAGCAGCGCTGAAGAAGAAATCATTGAAAAATTTCAATACTGTGCTTTTAAAAACAGTAAGATACATCCCAAAGAAAAGACGACTCTAAGTTGTTGAGTCTTTCTTGAAAAACTTTAATACTGGTTCAATACAGACTCGGCGCAGACTCATTATTTCTTTTTCTCCTTCTTCTTTTAGCCCTAAAAACAACTGGGATCGTAGTTGAAAGAGAACCTTCTCTGATTCCATGATATCGACCACTTGAGACAAAGAATCGTCATCATGATGAATAGCTATACTGCCAGATTAAGTAGGGTTATCGGGGTGTTTTATTCAAAGCCAACATGTTTAAATTCAGCCGACAAAGGAAAACTAGGAAAGATATTTCCCTAGAAATCATAAACTTCTCTTTACGAGGATTATCCTCAAGACTAAGTATTGTACTCTTGTTTTGACGACACAGACAGCGTAATATCATTGCAATTATGAGCATTATTATTGGGCATTCAGTTTATTGCTGCGTGGTGTGGAGCTGCTATACCCTACACCTGTGAAAACAGTTAATTTCCCGTAATGAACGGAAGATTTTAAACCAACCCACCAGCGAGAGGTAACAATCGGTTTTTCATCTCTGTCGATGTCAAATGAGGTAACGAAAGCATAGACAATGCCCATTGTTGGAGACGATTGCAAACTGTTCTCTGCTTCGGACGTCAGTTGTTTGAGTTGCTGTACGTTGTACACCTCCGTTACATTCTCCACTGAAAATAAAACATGGAAATTCAATTCACCTTTAAGATCCTCGATATATAGAAGAAATGAAAAGTGACTGAACAATCTTATCGGAGGAATTTTCGCTACCCCCTGCCGCACAACCTCACTATAGTTCAAGAATTTTGAGCCTGAATTCAGCTTGGAACTGCTGCTTGGACACGGTTAGTCAGAGGTTTCAGTGACGCATTGGAAATATTGCAAAGTCTGTACCTTTTCTAAATTTAAATGACTCAGACATATTCCATAAAGTCACTGCACTAGAATCAGGGGCAGTCAACCTAACACAAAGACGCCTGAAGACGTTTACGCGGGGTGAAGCGGAACGTTAATAATCGTACGCCCATCGAATAGAAACTTTATCAAAAGCCGATATTTATATTTTGGTTACCTAATGTCACCACATATCATACACAGTAAAAGCATATTGCACACAGTAAAAGCAACATAGTGATGATCGATAGAAAGAAGCGTGCTCTGTGACTTAACAGTGTGTATCGTCTTACTCTGAAAACCAACTGTAAACAACTGATTTGACCCGACGTGAGATGAATTCAAGAGTATCGTCATTTCACGCTAACAATCGCCTTAATATTTATTTCTTATTTCAATAATCAGTGTTTGGCAAGTGAGCTCACGGGTTCGATTATACATGAACGCGTTGATTCGATTAATTATGGTGAGCAAGTTACTTCGAGCACTGTTAACTCGTTGGTTCGGTGGCAAATTAAACAGTTTACAAATCACACTTTATTCAGCTATTCACGGTTCAAGAAACAACTTCAACCCGAAGCAAAAAAACAATCATATTAATTTGACTTGTACTTTGGCTTCTGCGAAGTATCTTTTATCGGTTTATGTTCAACCCAACCTGACTTGCACGTGATTCGAAAATGCACTCTGTAAAATCCGCTCAATTTTTCGGGACGTCCGCGGGAAAGTTTAACAAACATGCCAATTTGTGACTTCGGTTTGAAAATACAATCGGACGAAATATAGACGCAGGTTGACTACCTCATCCTGCGTAAAAAGCACTCGAGATCAGTACTGGAATTAAGTCTAAAAACGACGTGCAAGCAAACAGCCACAAACTCCACTGCAAGATACGCAAGTATTCTAAAAGATTCGGCTACCAGTGAACACAGCATCTCTGCCATGATAGCATTTTTCTTTCCTTCTTCATTTTTTCTTTCCTTTTGAGTTATCACTAGTCAAAGAAGACACCCTTTTCCAGACAACGACGAGGAGCACTACCCCTAGAAAACTAGGAAAATGAAACTTTAGACTAGGAAGGGGAATAGTGTTCATGTTAGAGCTTTTCTTCTAGCAGTTTTTGAACCTCCTTCCTCCTCGATCCGGCCAGTGCTGGTCATTGTTCAGTTTCTGCCTGTGCACATTATATTACCCAGGTATGGCATGGCAGTCATATATAGGAGGCTGTGCTACCACTCACTTATTGGTATAAGAGGATGAGTGCTCGACACTAACTTTCTTGGACACTAGGCTTTGGGGACTCTTACACAAGCCCTCTGTAAGTATCTTACACAATGCTTGTGTAAGCACTCTTACGCGCTCTGTAAGTATCTTACACAAACCTTATGCAAGACTTCTTACGCAAAAGGCAACAAAGCTTTTTACATAATTTTTAAGTGTTAAAGAAGGCGTTCGTAAGAAGGACTCTTAGAAATGAGCTATTTTAATCAAATTGCGTTATTTAGTGACACAGCAACTAAAATAGGGTAATTTTGGTGCAGTGGAATACAAAAGGTGTTGTATATTATATTCCGCTACTGTTTTAAGCTGTCGAGAATGATCCAAATAAATCACTTGCCCACGAGGCCAAGCCACTAGTCCAAAAAACGCAGAGAAAAAATACGTGGGGTAACAGAACTTTCATGCCCTGTTATCTCGTCCAAACAAAAATTGACTGTTCCTGTGACAAAAGCAGAGTTTGGATTCGCTAATCTCTCAGCACTACTGTTTGAGACCACACCAGCCTGAGAACAGAACATTTTTTTCTTCTTGACAACTTCTGACGGCTTCATATCGCCCTTCTTTTTCTTTCTAAAGCCAAATGAGATATTCTAAAATGGGTAAGACTTGTGAAGCCGGTTTGAGCTGGTATCTCCCCAAACCTGAAACTCGGTCACATGGGTAGAAATGCAGATCAGCACACATAACTCCCTAGGGATAAAATAAACCAAGTAAGAAGTTCATAGAAAACAAGTACTCTTACTCCTCAGTTCGAGTAAAGATCCCTTTCTAGTTACCACCCATGACCATGTCTTATACTCTCTTGCCACTGATAGTGTGGAAAAATCGGCACCTATAATATAACTCATTCGCTATTATTAATAGGTACTGTAAAATACTAGTGAGAAGGTATGATACTAACAGCTATCCATCAGAGATGATTCCGGATTGTTTAAAGGATCATCGTCTAATAGTTCCAAAGACTGCGCGTAGTTGTAAAGGTAACGGGCCTCCATTGTGTCTGAAAATAACAAATAATCAACATATAATGATATATGCATATACAACTGATAATTTCAAAAAACAGTCCCCGTCAATAAATACAGTCCAACCTCCATTTGGGACCACCTCTCGAATAAGCGATCGACCTTTTCCCATAAGCAACCACTGACATAAAACACCAAAAACTTTCTCAGTCAAAGCCCTACTAGAGCTAGAACCTTTGGAAACGACCACCTCTCTCTTAGGCGACCGTGACCGCTTTTGGGAATGACGGGGTTGTAAATCCCAGTCTCTAACCTGCTTGACGCATGGTCTAATTTCTATGTTGGCTGTTGCCGTGTATGGGGTCTTCCCAGGCCTTCTCAGTCAACGCTTTGTGGTTTAGTGATGACGTAGCGGAGACAAACAAAGTTACTCACCCCGGACCACATAACCCCGCTGGAAATAGTCAGTGTTTGCTGTATGCTTTCAGTGACAACTTGTAACTACACTGATCGCGACCTAGGAATTTCATGCACTAAATTTTCTTATCTGTGTTGGGACCTATCATAGAGAAAATTCTTGCGGTTCGATTCTCGTAAGCAACCACTAAATCTTTGCATTTTGGGTAGTCGCTTACGGGAGGTTGGACTGTTTGTTCAAGATTCATTTGAGAGATACAAAAAGTAATAACGTTGATCGAAACTTGCATGAGTGCAAGGGAGCAGAAATCAAACAAGTGGTATCCCGTTGTACCTGGATTACCGGTAATTATTGTTTTGTGATCACAAGTAGCAATCATACACTTTTTAAAGTCATCAAAAGTCGCCTTGACATCTGCAATAAAAAGAACTAAAGGAAGAAAAAATTAAAAGAGTAATCCAAAACTGATATGAACAACCGAGCAAAAATTGAGGATTTAGTGAAAACTTACTCATATCCTTAGGCATCCAGGTTTGAGCAAGTTCAATTGACTCCTCGTCCCACCTAAAAAAAACCGGTGACAATTATACCAAAGAGAATTTTTTGTGTAACATTCCAATTCATTGTGAATCAATTAATGGTAGCTAAATGAGACTGAGTACTTACATGACCAATGGAAAAGACATGCAAGTTTCATCGAAAAGCAACACTTCACATCTCTTAACATGTTTTCCTGTCTTTGTTATAATATCTTTTGGCAATCCAACCTACAAAAAAAGTTTATCCATTGTAAAAGATTTTTACGTTACTCCAAAACTCTTTTGCCTTTTGCAGGATAACTTTTGTAATAATCTGGTGTAATACTCTGACCTGTCCAGGAAAACTGTGACAATAAGATATGTTCCAAAAACAAAGCTGGTGTTTGTCTTGGATGTGAGATCACTTTTGTTCAAGGAAGGCGAGAGGAAGTGGCGAGTTGGAAAAAAAGAGAAAAAAACAAGAAAAGGGAAAAATGAGGGAGAGGACCGCTCGTTTTAAGCTCGTTTTCCCCATTTTCGTTTAACCCCTCCACCCTCCCACCACTTGACCCGCCTAACATGGAGCAACATGGGCTACCTAAATCCTTAAGTTTTTTGGGAATAAAACTAGTCAGAATACACAGGGGTTACACTAGCAGTGTAAAAATGCTCGAAATGTTCGTCGATGCGTACGTACATACTTACACTCTTGACAACAGCTTGAATATTAACATGTTCTCCATGTAAATTTTGATCATTGGCTATGATGTCTCCCAGTGTGTAGAAGTCATTACTGGTCTTGACTGGTATGTGAGAAATGCGGTCAAATACACTTGTATCCCAGCCACTGAACAAGCTCACGGAGGAATGTGTCTCACTGACATGTAATTCATATGGACTGAAAGTAATGAACAGAGACTTACTCACGACTTGTTTACTGCAATAAGGATACCGATAGTCCTTGATTGATAGATTAGACATGGTCTCACAAATAGTGATACTGCAGCTAGAAGTTAGCTGAATCTTCTATTAAGGGCATATAACTTTAGAAAGTATATTAGTAAAAAAGAAGGGGTCATTCGGAGAAGCTGTCAATCTACTCTCACCCCAAAGATTTAGCACTAGAGAGAGTAGCTTCTTTCTGTGTATTTCTGCCTTTTTTCTACTTTCTCTAAATGAATGCTCTTACATGTAGGTCTCTAATATGCGACCCTCTCCAGTGATAGCTTTTAGTTTAGTTCTTCGGCAAATTCTGATGAGTAAAGTGCAATGCCAAATTTTTGTTAAACGTAACCTGGGAAGAATCGTGCGAAATGTTTTGCAGGTAAACAAGACTTATGCAACAGTCAATTCCAGCTGCGCCCAGCGCCCCCCCCCCCGGGCTGACCCCTGGGCATTAGCATTTTTTTTGCCTTGGATGGCAAATTCCCGGGGTTGGGGACTCTTGAGCTGTCAAATCCCCCGGGGTGGGGACGAAAAAAGAGGGCAAATGCCCCGTCCTCCGTAAACACTACAACATTTTTCATTGATCGCACAGTCGAATAGTGCCGTTTTAAGCATTTTAATGTGCAATTTTTTGTTTCAATTAACGTCTTCCTTTGTAATAGCGCTATGATTCTAATTAAGACTTCACGCCGCAACGACATGCACCAGTTTATAATTTTAGTATTAATGATTTTAGTATTAATGTAAAATTATTGACATTAAAATAATAGAGCGCTGTCAAGTTTATATGTTATGAATAGTTTTATAAATATGAAAGGATGTTTTTCAAATAATTTGATTCAATAACCAAAAAACGTCGATTCACGTCGAGAGCTCCCGATTTCGCTATGTAATTCTGGCTCGATAAGTAATGAAGAAATGCATGCATAAAATCAAGAACATGCCTTTACAAACCACTCAATTTTTCCTGTCCTTGACAGATGAGTCAATCTGCTTTCTTTCCTCTGTGTAGTTATTTTCTGATAGGAAACCGCGTGCGTGTCAAAAGCTCAGGAATGGCCCCGGGGTTGGCAAATGCCCGGCCTACGGACAGCACAAAATTTTCAAATGCCCCACCCCCGGGACTGACGAGGCGGGCAAATGCCCCGCAGTAGCCCGGGGGGGGGGCTGGGCGCAGCTGGAATTGACTGATGCATCGATTAGTAACAAGGCCTAGTCTGTACGTCATACAGAACGGTCAGCAGTTTAAGGTGATAAAAAAAGTAAATCCTCGTTACCTGGGTGTCCATGGCCTCCATTTTTCCTCCGCTTCACTGCTTTGTTTGTTTTGGATTTGTGGGTTTCTCACCTCCACTGTGACAAATTAAAATCATAAAAAAGTCAGAGTTTCAGTTCTCTAGCTTCCTCGAATTTTTTTTTTCTGAGGAAAATGAGAAACAGATGAATGTATCTCAGGGAAACACTCAACTTAAGCTGAAGTAGGCTCACTAATTGACTAAATAATCGTCGATACTATCTTTCTCAAGCTTACCGATATCGTTGATCCTGAATGATTTAGAGAGATTTTCAATATAATTTTCGGTTCCCCAGCAGTTTACATTGATGAAGTCTGCAGGCGAATCCCTCAGAGTGAAAAAGAAGTGATATTTTTCCCTTCCTGGGTCTGTAATATGTGAATACGAGAAAAAGAAGTGAATAAAAGGTTAAGAAGTGTGTTATAACCCACTTAAATCGAAAACTGAAAGTACAATTTAAAAAGCTTTATTCGCACTTTTTCTGTCAGGAAATGAGTGAACTGGCTGCTTGGCCATTACGAGTCCCACCAGGTTCTGCAATGAAAAAATGGAAAGAACAGTTAAAAATTAATTGAATCTCGACTTCTCGTTTTGTCTGGCGCTGTTAAAATACCTACGCATTGGTTCATTCCTTGAGACAAGTCACAAATTGAAATTCGTCCGTTCGAAATTTGTCCTTCGCCACCAAAGCCTGTGCCGTCAGGCCAAGCTGTTTGTGTACCAAAACCATTGAAAGTCATGTTTGTACAACCAACGGAATACGGAAAATATAATTTTCGTCAACACCAAATTTTAGTAAAGAACTGTTAAGTTTAGAACTGTGGAAATGAAGTGAACTAGTTTTGTTTTTGTTGTTGTTGTGCAGAGGGTTTTGCGCGGGAAAAATCTGCGCGCCCTTTACAACCCTTACCGCGCTAGAGCCATGTGATCAGAGGTGACCAATCAGCAAAAGTCGTTCTTGGAATAAAACCCGACCTTTCTACAAATTCTCGAGTTTCATTTGAAAATAGCTCAAAATGGAGTTGAGTGGTATGAGTATTGAAGATTGAAAACGAATGTAACAGAAAGATGAAATTAAATTTAATAGGATGAAATATGTGGTAACATCCTCGGAGACCCAGGGGCAGATAGTAGAGACGAGGGAAAGTCTAAACTGGCGGATGTGGTAAGAGCCTTCGTCTCTTTTACGCGCGAAAACACATTACCCAGAATTCTATCGTTCTTGTCCTCAACGCGCATGTTCGTGACTGCTTACATAAAATGGCGGAAGATGTTGAATGTAGAACAAGTCGAAAAAAATTGAGATTTCCTTTTTTGTAATTTTCGCCATGTGACGCTTATTAGAGGATACAGCTTAATGTCTACGAGGTAAATATGGCTCAAAGTTTCTCAGAATTGAAAACAGGATGTTTAACTGAGGCTTTTGTTGGTGTTTTGCTACAGATTAGAGCGTCTTTTTCTGCTGTTGGACACTGGCTCCACCGCAGTTACTCGGAAAGCAGCGGCCCAACAACTTGGTGAGGTGCAAAAGTTGCATCCTCATGAGCTGCACAATCTTCTCAGCAGGGTGAGATTTTAAATACTGGATACAAACTTTAGTGGGCCTGACTTACATTAGGTCTTTCAGCTGAATCTTTGTGGTCATAAAATTAATTATTCAAGCTATTGTAGCCTCTTGAGGTCGTGTTACCTCGGTTTGAGTT